GTATGCGCTCTTAACTGCTAACATACTTCTTGTTCTGAAATTTTATAAACCACAAACTAGAAAGAATTTGGCCTAACTTGACAGTTTTAATTTATATGACCACAATTAAAATTACTTATAAGCCAGTTTGGCATCAAGCAGACATTATTAAACCACAAGTACGTCTAGCTAGCATACGTGCACATAGCCACATATGAAAAAAATATATATATATTTTTTTGCTTTCACACTGATTTTAAAGAGATTATTCTTTGGTAATCTTATATAAGAATACGACTTTAGATCATATTACCCCCACCTGCTCCCTCTTCTTGGACGCTCCCTAAACATCTCCCTCTCAACTTCCCTCCTCCTCTACCTCCTCAGCCTTCCATAACCCACTGATTCCAGTTAGAGCTGTTCTTCGTACCTGGCTGTTGGAACATGGACAACTCACCACGGGCCACACCACTGAAGAAAACGGACTCACGCCCCTAGCAGCCACCAACTGGCACTAGCTCTGTGGCTAGGGGTGGGACCTCACGAGGGGTCTTCATGCTGGAGTGTTGATTGGCTTGACCCCGTCGAAGCTAAAAGGCTTCTAAACCGAATTTAAAAACACACCAAGACTCTCATAGCATTTACTATCATTTTTCAGTTTTAAAGGTAGACTGTTTATCTGATATTCGATAGCATTAAGAACTCCTTAATCCAAGAGCTATACTTTTAAAGATATAACTTGATTTTTTCTTTTCTTTCTTTCTTTTTTTTTTTTTTTTTACTTTTTATTGGTACTTTGTGAATTTCACACCACGCACCGGGATCTCACTCATCTCCCTCACCCCTCGTACCTGCCCTCCTCCCTTGCAACCTCTCCCCCAATAGAGAAAAAGAAATCTCACTGTGGAAGCTGTAGTGTGTCACAGTGTGTCCCACAGTATATGTACCCTTTTGTCCACACCTCTTTGCTTGCAACTCGCTGCAATGGCTTGTTGGTCTGGTTCGAGGCCCCTGGCTTCTGCTACCCTATCAATACTGGGTCCTCACTGGGACTCCTTTGGGATCCTGTTGTTGCCTTGTGTCATGGAGATCCAGTAGTTTTGGATCTGAAGGACCAGCTTCTTCATGCACACCAGCAGTTCATTGATGGGGTAGATGTTGGGGTGGACCAGTTCAGAGCCCTGGATCTGGGCCTGAGAGTATCTGACCTGGTCAGTCCAGTGGTTCTCCTGCTCTCATGCCCAGAGAACCCCACAACCAGGGCCAGTGGCTCTGCTCTGGTGCCCAGCTGAGTTATGTCAGAGCGGACATAACTTGATTTTTAAGGCACAGAGCTGAACCTGATTATTGACCAAGCAGACTTGAGGAGGCAGCAACGGCTTGGCTCTATTTAAATTATTTTTAAAAACGTTTATTTCAGTTTTAACTGTGTGTGCGCGCGTGCGTGTGTGCAGGCCATCCTTGCCCTCCCCACTGCTGTTATTGCAACTATGCTGGAGGATCTGGTGAACTGTCCCTACCTGCCAAGCTTCCCTGCGTTGACTTGGGCAGGCACCTTGAGCAGCACACAAAGTCATAAGAGTAAGATCTAGGATATGATGAAGTAGGTGTCTTGGGGCTCGAACTGCCTTGGGTCTGCCCAGCTTTCCCCTACCTGCTGCAGGGGAAACTTGCTGTCTTCCTGCCCCTTACTTTGTCAGACAAGCTTGAGGCTGGGTCTGCTCCTCTTCCTTCATTACTTCGAACAGCCCCACAATCCCTAACTCTCAGACTTCGGCTCTCCCTTCTGAGCCTCTGCTCCCCTCCCCACCCCCACTTTAGGGGCAGGCCCACTGTAGGAGTTCCACTTGATGAGAACGAAGACCCTACTCATTTGGCCAGACCTGCCACTCCTCCTGCAGAAGGGATTCCCCCAACACCGGTGTGTAGGTGCCCTCATCCTCTTTCTTTCCCCACACCGGCATTCTGAAAGCCTGAACTGGCAGCCATCTTTAGGGCCCATGGTGATGTAATGTAGACATGACACCTCTCTGGAGGCTGTAGCAGGGGCTCTTTCAAATCCCCACTTGCAGCAGAGGCACACCATAAATGTTAATACTCTTCATTAGCCCACTTAGATTTCAGAGCCTCTTGCTTCATCACAGTCCAAATTTGTTTATCCTTTTGGCTTAGAAACTATTCCCAAGCTGATATCTGGGGCTATTTTAAATTTCATTTATATATTTTACCTACCTATTTATTTAATGTATGTATGTATGTATGTATGTATGTATGTATGTATGTATGTATCTATCTATCTATCTATCTATCTATCTATCTATCTATTTTGTGTACATGTGTGTGTTTGTGCAGAGGATGGCTTTCGGGAATCAGGACTATGTGGGTCCCAGGGATTGAATGCAGGTGGTTGGGCTTAATGGTGGTGCCTTTCCTTTTCAACCATCTCTTTGTCCTCATAACTGGGGTTTATGATGGAAAGAAAACAAACAAACAAACAAACAAACAAAACACCTCCCCCTTGAGTGTTCCTCAGCTTCGGTCCTTATGGTCTGCATCCTGGACTATGGTAACAGGCATCACCTGTGCAATTCATGATAGCATCCTGCTGCTGAACATAAGCATATAGATACTATCCATCCTTCCAACAAAGCCACCATCTTCTGCTTTCCTCTTGTTTTTAATGGCAGCTACATTTTGTTCTATATCTCTTGATTTTGGGAACCTACCACCCCATGATCGTATTGCCTCTACCATGTGCAGTAAGTTTTGGGGCCAACTGAAACTTGAGATCACACTTTTCATACTAGATCCATCCTTCAGCTCTCATCATTTAATAAGCGGCCGAACGATAGCTCTTTGTGTAGGATCCAGCAGCTTCAGCAACAGCTGATGGCATAACCAGCCTCCTAGCAGTAGCACAAGGTAATCAGGGCATACAGGCCATGAAATCACCCTGGTCCGCCTTTGACGCACCTGTCACTGCCCAGCCAGCATCTGGGAAGAGCCCAGGTGTTTTGCACATTGCCACAGTCACAGCTTCTCACTTTAGCATCACTGCTAGGATATCTGGCCCTGGCAATGTGTCTCCTCCTTTTCCCTGTTCCTCTCCCAGCATACTGGTGTTTATGAGATCTGCAACTCCATCCAACAGAGGGGACTGGGCTTGGCCTACCCACTCAGGGCCACAGGCTGAGAGCATGCAACTTCATAGATAGACTGAAGGGGACACCCAGTGCCACTCCTGTTGTCCCTATTCTAAAATTTTGTTGTTTAGATACAGCAAGACTGCTGTTCAGAGGATGAGGACAATAGATCACCTGCCCCTCTCCTGATTGGCTGCTCACCAGGCTGACTAGCTCCAGGTCAGTGTTCTTCATCACTGGATCTGGCAGCTGCCCGTGCTTTATTAAGACGCTCCCCCTCCCCTGCCATTAATGAGCCCTTACCGATCACCAAATGACTTTGACATCACAGCTCAGGTTTTTTGTTTGTTTGTTTGTTTTTTTCTTAACACCACTTTTCCTCTTTCATTAGCTACCATATAAGCTGGAAAAAAAAATGTTCTGCACTTTTTTCAGCTGCCACAGTTTTGGTGTCAGCCATTTCTCTTGCCTAGATTCAGACACCCATGCTCTTGGTTTTATGTACCTGTGTTCAGTTTCTCTTTCACAGCGAAGGTGGCTCATCCAGGAAGAAGCATTTCCTGGTAGCTGATAGTTTACTCGGAGCCCAAGCCCAAGTCTTGTCTTGACTCTGGTGGGCAGCAGTGTATATACTACTGTGTGTGTAACAGGATTCACTTCCTTTTACTCCTGTCTTTTTTCTTTTTGCACAGAACATGCTTTTCGAAGAGAATTAAATTTTCTGAGAGCAGGGAATTGGTTACAGATTGCCATATTTCCACAGTCATAAGATCCTTTGATACAGCATCTTATATGTAGCCAAGCCAACCCATGTTGCAAAGACAGACAGACATACCTGGAGTTTACTGGCCAGCTAGTGTAGTCAAACAGGTTAAGTTCCTGGGTGACTGAGAGACTTTGGATAGAGGAAGACAATGGCGTCGACCTTTGGCCTCTTCAAGAACACACAGGTAACACATATTGTACATATTGAGCACACACACAGACAACACACACACACATACACAAAGCAGTCCTAGCAACAGTCAAATACGTTTTTACTTCTATCAGAGCTGGCGTCCACAGAATGGCACACATCAGAAGTAGGGTTTGAGGGAAGGAGGGAAATATTATTTTTGGCAAATGTGGGAACAGGCGATTCTGCCTGATGGGGCATGCAGTGTCTATTCTGGGTCAGAGCTGTTTTTTAGTGGGTCAGGGACAGGGTCTTACTAAGTAGTTCAGGCTGCCCTCTAACTCCCCATCCTCTTGCCTCAGCCTCCCTCGGGCTAAGAGTATCACCACGTGTGGCTAGTGCTGCTGATAGGCTCAACCTAGAGCCTCTAGAAACGGTTTCTCAGCGGAAGCGACTTCCCAGCCTTACTAGGCAGTAGTCTTTGCTTAGCTCTAAAAGAAAGTAGACTGGCTTGGTGGCTGCTGGAGGGCACTGGCCCAGGAGGAAGACCTGCCGCGGGGGGGGGGGGGGGGGGGGGGGGGGGGGGGGGGGGGGGGGG